GACGGGGTTAAAGGAGCCGCTGATTCGGGGGCTCTGGCTCACTCAGGCCGGGGAGAGGGAGGGGTACGGATGCGGGGAGAGCCTGCGGCGGCAGAGGCCGGTGTGACGTTGCACCAGCCTGAGGCGCGCCGTGCATTCTCCTGGGGAAGTTGTCCCTGGATCACGGGACCCTGGCAGTGGCGGGCTGCACAGGCTCCCGGGAGGGGAGGTGTGGTGAGTGACCTGTGCTCGCACACAGGTTTCTTGGAGGCGGCAGCAGCAACCTTAGCGTCTCATACCCGTCTCTGGGGTCCGCGCTTTTAGCTGCGGCTTGCGCCCGTCTCTGCAGCTCCTTTAAGCAGCGCTCTTAATCCCCTCTCCTCGCGCACCAGGAAACAAAGAGGCAAGGAAAAGTCTGTTGTCTCTTTGGCAGTTCCAGACTTTTCCCGGACTCCCTCCCCGGCTAGCCGTGGTGCACTAACCCCCTGCAGGCTGTGTTAACGCTGCCAACCCCAGTCCTCTCCCTGGAATCCAACCGAAGCCCTCGCCTCATCTCCCAGCCCTCGCCTGCCCCGGCGGGTGAGCAAACAAGCCTCTCGGGCTGGTGAGTTCTGGTCGGCACCGATCTTCTGTGCGGGAATCTCTCCACTTTGCCCTCCGCACCCCTGTTGCTGCGCTCTCCTCCGTGGCTCCGAAGCTTCCCCCTCGGCCACCCGCAGTCTCTGCCCGCGAAGGGCTTCCGAGTGTGTGGAAACCTTTCCTCCTTCACAGCTCCCTCCCACTGGTGCAGGTACTGTCCCTATCCTTTTGTCTCTGTTTTTTCTTTTTTCTTTTGCCCTACCCAGGTACGTGGGGGAGTTTCTTGCCTTTTGGGAGGTCTGAGGTCTTCTGCCAGCCTTCAGTAAGTGTTCTGTAGGAGTTGTTCCACATGTAGATGTATTTCTGATGTATTTGTGGGGAGGAAGGTGATCTCCGCGTCTTACTCTTCCGCTATCTTGAAGCTCCCCCTCTATCATATGTTTTTAGATATTGTTGCATGAAAAATCAAGTAATCCAAAAAAAAGAAAAACCAAACCCCATATGAGAATGTAGCATGAGAATATGTATACATGTGAATATATATGTACACATAGCCATATATATATAAATACATATGCACACACACTCATATATATTTTTTTTAAAGTTTGGGGAAAAGTAATATAGGTCAGCTTGGTTTTTCAGGCATAAAATAGTTCATATTTTTGTGTCAGCTTACAAGAGAATTCAGACAAACCAATGGAAAAAATATATGTAGCCCAAAGTACATCTTAATATATATAGTGGTATGATGCAATAAAAATCACAGATTATTATGGAAGTTGAATCAATTATTCAGTAGACAGCATTAATAAAAATTGTTTAATTATTTGTCTAAAAATCACTTTACATCATCACTTTATTCCAAATGCAGAATTAATTCCAATAGGATTTAAGAATGAATTGCTAAAAACATTACACTAAAAATACAAAAGATAATCTATAGATTTATCTGTAAAGTCTATAGATAAATATTTAGCTTATCTCTGGGTAGGAAGGAGTTTCTTAGCTTAGAAATCATTGGAGAAATTACAAAACATCAATATATTGATTACATTAAAATTACCAAAGTTAAAATAACTAATTGAGAAGGAATATCCACACAAATATAACATACAATGGTTAGTGTATGTAAAACACAATGAGTTTGTACAAATTGATAAGAGCAATCTAAAACCCCAGGAGAAAACGTGGCAAAGGTATCATACTGGTCTCTCAGCTTCCTTTCATTCCACGAGGATGAAAGAAGTACAGGTTATTTATTATACCGGAAATTTCTGTAGGATTCACAAGAATGTGAAGTTAAAGAAAATATTACAGTCAGCTTGGATCTCACAATCACCTGAACTAGAATAGAGGGTTGGTTGTACAGATAATTATGAAAATTGTTCAGTTGGAGAAGAAAATCTTTTTGTTTACCTGCATTTGTACTTTATAAACATCAAACTTGATTAGATGGTTCAGTAACACTGGATGGATGAAGGAAGTTGATTTATGGGAGTGCATTCTGGAGAAGATTTGTAACATCAATAGATAAAAAAGTGTATGTTCTCCTAGACTTTCTACTGTTCTAACTCAGATGAAATAACTGGTTTAATTTAATTTAATTCTCCCTCCCCCTGCTTTTGGTGAGATCTTATAGTCTCATCAGCTGTGGTTCTTTTCAGGACGGTGACCCCATGACTGATGAGGACTCACTGTCTATGCCTTGCCTCTGTCAAGTGCAACACACACCCCTATGTCTCAGCACCACATATAAGAACAATTGTCTTGAAGGATAATTGATACTTTTCCAGAGGCGTTTGAAGAGAAAGCCAAATTCCTGTTGCTCCCTTCCCCTTGCATTTCCAGAAGAGGCATTGCACAGGTTGACTCTCACCTCCAGTTGCCCCATACCAGTATAAAAGGTCTGGCTTGACTCATGGAGATTGGCTTTGGCTGCTGGGCAGGGGAGCCAAGCCCTAATCCTGATGATTGCATAAGAGACTTCTGTGTGGTCTCATGGAAGGAATACTCAGCCAGGAGTCAGGAAATCAGAGATCTGTTCCTGGTCCAGTTTTGAGGGCGAATGGCAGGGTCAACTTTGCTGGACTCTAGTGGGGCTTGTGGGCCTCGAGCCTTCGGATTTCAGTGCTCCTTGAAAAAGGAAGGCCTTTGAATTCACACATCTTTTCGTTTGAATCTCTGTCACTCATGAGCTTCTGCTTTCAGGTTTCCCTCTCTGAATCTCAGTTTTCTCATTTATAAAATGGAGAAGCTACCTACATCATGCCATTTAAGTGAAAACTAAGTGAAATAATATACATAGCCTTGTACCATATTGATACAGCATTATGCTTGGCGTATAACGATCTCAATAAGTGAACTTCTCTGTTTTTCCTCTTAGAGCTGATCTCACCATCTTGTTCCCTAACAAATCCACTTTTGATTAATTCTCAGAGAAAAGATCATATAAATTCAGCTTGTGTATTATTGGCTAATAAGGCATAATAACGGTTTCTTCCCAAGTATATTGGCATTTTAATAAGGAAAAAATGAGAAATTATAGCTATAATGGTCATATTGAGGCAGGAAGGAGAAACCAATAGGGACTGTGTGTGGAGATACAGGAGACATTATCCAGGAATTCTTTACATTATAGCATTTTTGATTCAGTCTTTTGAGTTAAGCCTTCTAAAACTTAAATGGCCAATGTTTTGAAACAGGTAGGATATCAAGATCATTATCAGTTACACCTTAGTATGGTTTAGCTTTTAAGATCCTTTTTCAGAAGGGAAATTTTAATCTGTGTGTGTTGAGGGGAGTAGGATGCAGTTCATATAACCTGAATATTTGAGGAGTTAGGCAGAGCAGGAAGATGGGAAATGTGAAAGATAACTTGCACATAATTACACTTGAACCCAGAATTGTTAGAACAAAATAAAATGACTGGTATAAATCATTTTGTATGAAACGGTTTAAAATGTTAATGCATAGTATTTTTATTTATTATTCTTTATTTTGAAATTTTCTACTCAAAAGCACATTTCAAATACCCATAATCATCATTATGCTTCCCCACTTACCGTAAATGCCCACAGAAAGTCACACATTTCCTTCCTGTTGAACTATTGCTCTACAAATCATAGTATTTTACTAGGATTTTACCATTTAAAGTTTCATTGCAGTATTTGTGGTAAACTCTATTGTGTATGGTATTACATGACAACGATGCATAGTGCCTAGATGCTATAATGACCAGCTATTCTGTGGTCAGTAAAAGGAAATTATATAACATTAGTTGCCAATGTGTTCTTAAGGGAAAAGTCTTCACATTGCTCCAGCCCACCCCCTGCTCCGTCACTTGCCACTAATAGTAGGTTTTACAAATAGGTTGAGGGTAAGTGGACCCTGGAGTACCATTCCCTGTACCCCAAAACCATGCCCAGCCCTTCCGCCTGGTTATTTCACATCAGTGGTGGGCAAGTTTTGGTGTATTTGACTCCCACACAACGTGACTCTGTTCCATCACTGTGTGTGTCTAGTACTCTCAATCTAGGCATTTTCATTATTACTCTATTTACCTAAGACATGTTGTAAAAGAATAGTTTGACCCAAGATACAGGTCTTCTCGAACTTTCCCATCATGTTCGTTCTGGTGGTGGTTGTTTTTGTTTGTTTGTCTTTCAGTTTTTGGAGCATTTACTATTTAAGAGGAATGAGAGCAACGGTTACTGTTTCCACGTCCCTTTGAGATTTACCCTTTACATCCGCTTCTCTTTCACAAGTAATGGACTTTCAAATAAAATCTCTACCACTCTCCCCTGTAGAAGGAGCCACTCCTCCAGGAAGACAAGGCCCAGCCCTCCATCAGCCAGCGCTGGCCACATGCTCGCCCTGACCCTGTGTCTGGCTTGTGTTGCCCATGATTATGGCTCTTGCTGGCAGCTCAGTGGCACACGGCTCAGAAAGCAGAAAAAGAATTTTGAATTACAGGGGAAATGATGCTTAAAAAGGCAACAGTTTACTGATGTCTATTTTTTTTCACTGTAAGATATTTTCATACAGTTTGTCCTTCAGTTCAATCAAGTATGGTTGGTCACCTTTCTTAAGGAAATTTATTTCATTACATAGTGAGTCTTGGTGAAATAATACAAGAAGACTCTACTGAAAAAAAAATTATATCTCCACAGCTTTCTTCATAGAACATGTGACAGAATAGATACTGAGGATGTTAATATTAAAAACTTTTTTAAACATAAGGAATAATATATTTTGTTTAGTTAAAATGTATTGATTGGGCTTCCCTGGTGGCTCAGTGGTTGAGAGTCCGCCTGCCGATGCAGGGGACGCGGGTTCCTGCCCCGGTCCGGGAGGATCCCGCCTGCAGCGGAGTGGCTGGGCCCGTGGGCCGTGGCCGCTGGGCCTGCGCGTCCGGAGCCTGTGCTCCGCAACAGGAGAGGCCACAGCAGTGAGAGGCCCGCCTACCGCAAAAAAAAAAAAAAAAGTATTGATCACATTATGCTATACTTTTTGTTCATATTAATCAGTCATTTCTATCCATTTTATGTGCTCCTCCATGCAGTGAATCTCTTTACGCATTTGATTCAGTGCTTGAAAGTATATGGATGCCTTAAAAAGAAAGTCAATAGAGATTAAATAGTTATGCCCATTATTTTTATCACTGCTTGATTTTTTGAAAACTGCTAATAATTTCTTTGTTTATAGAATACTAAATGTAATTATTGGACCAATATTTCCAGTGATAAAAAGTTTAAAACAGAAATTCTCTCATTTACATTCCTCAAAGTTAATTATTCATTACCTTCCTTCTCCTCAAATATCAAGTATTATCAGTAGTGATGCATTTCCTTGTGTGTTTCTTATCCTACCGGGCATGAATCAATTAGATTCACACACCTGAGATGAACCCCAGGCCCCGGGGCAGCTAGGAAATCGTTCAGGAATGCAGACTTATAAGTAAGCAATTAAAGCAGGCTCTGGAGCTCTGTAAGGCATGTGGCATTCATACTAGGCAACAGGTGATATATTTTCCATCACTCCTTCCTCTTGTCCCAGATATCTTCTCTCAAAATAGATGTTCTATTCTTTTATTCTCCCAAGTGTGTGTGTGTGTGTGTGTGTGTGTGTGTGTGTGTGTGTGTGTGTGTATAAAACCTTTTCCTTCCTAGACATTTTAATGGAAGTAGGCAGAGAGTAAACAATAACTAAATAAGAAGTCGTGTTTGCTCATTATAATTCATCACTGATTGTGTGATTTTGTAATATAATTCCTATTCGGGCTCCTGATGACTGGATCTTGTGCTTTTCCTGTCCTTCTTCCTTTTAGATTTTGTGTGGACTGTTTTCTCTACTGTTTTTTTCCTGAGACTTTCAAAGTGTTTCTGAAACGTGCATCAAAGCCGCTTGTGTACTTGCCCAAAATGTTTCTAGTCCCCACGTCTTACCCACTGCCAACAGAATCAGGTTCTCTGGAAGAGGGACCTGGAAATGTGCATTTCCAACAACTACCCATCTCCTCCCCAGGTAGTTATCCTTCCACAGTTATCCTTCCAGTTTAGTCTTTTTTCTGCACTTTCTCCTTATTTGTATATAGATTCCTCCATTTTCAAGGGGATTTGTGAGCCAGTGCAAAACAGTATTGCTTGGTCTTGCCCACTAAGTCTATATCCAGCCTTAGACTTTATCAGTATTAGCAATCATCTAACCAAAAGATCCAGCCCCGATCTTAGTCATTTAACACAATCTTAGAGAGGGCCTCAGGGATACCATGGCGAGAATCACACCATTGAGTAGATCACCGCTTAGCATCACAAAAGTCAAATTGTGTTGTGCGACTGAGTTGCACATGCCTGAAATAACAAAAACAAACAGCAACAAAATTTCATACTTGCTGAGTTTCTCCTTTTCATACCTATTTTCAAAATTCCACGTCCCCCCAAATTCCAGGTTCTGTGCTATGCCTCCTTCCCACTGAAGCTGTCTCACACCACCCTCATTCTCATATTATTTATACATGGGAAACACTTAGAACAGGGTCTCTCACAAGTGACTCATCTATAAATTTTAGTTGTTACTGTTATTAATATTTTCCAAAACTACACTGAAGTAACATCTCGGCTCGCAGAGCAATCACAGATGAACTGTGAAAGCCCCAGGCCTGTTCGATTTCTCAACAGGCTGGTCCCACTTTCTGAAGCATTCTGGGGACTTTCCTCAGTCTTCACAGCTTTAGGAGGATTCCCCTGACCTTGTTCTGACCTCTTTACCCAAACCCTAAGGGCCCCTTAAGAGAGGACCAAACACCACATGTCCTTGTGAGTGTTTTCTGTCTATCGTTCTAACCTTCTTGAGGTCGTGAAAACACACCTTTTTTCTCTGATTTATTTTATCTAAGTGTCTTGGACAGTTCCATAAATGGGTTTGTTGATAATAACTATGAACGTGTTTTCTTTTAAACTATCTCTCTGATGAGTCTTTGGTGGCTTTAGAAAGAGAAGTTTTTGCATATTAGCATAGAGTATTAAAACCTGAAGGTTAAATGTATGAGGCTGACTTTGCATGACCTCGCTGAAGCAACACTGTGCAGAAAAAAAGTCTTAAGGTTTAAATGTCTTAATAAAATAAAATACAAAACAAAAAAAGTTTAAATGTCTTGTATTTGATAGGGCCACAGAAAGGCTTTTCCACCCAGTGCTAGACACAAGCTTATGGTTCCATATTGTCAATCCCAAGTCCATAAACTTTCCAGATTTTCCAAAGGGATAGATCTGTCGTTTAGGCTTGTTGGGTAGGTGGAGCAGAAAGGTCAGGTTTATCATTTGACTGGGTGATAAACCTATTTTGTATCTGGCCTGACCAAGAATATTTTTTGAAAGGGACTTCTCTCTTATCATGTTTTTTCTCAGTTTTCTCTCAAACTGTCTTTAAAGACTGCACTTGGTTGGCATCAAGGTGGGCTTTCACTGAGACCCCCGACTTTAAGCAAACTTCTGGGCAGAAGACCCCAGAAGAAGATCACGATGAGCCCTTAATCTGAAAGAATTGGTGGAAGAATCCAGAGTGACAGGAAGAGCTACTTCCACCCAAGAGGGCTGGCCCGAGTGCAGTGAGTAAGCCCTCCTGGAACTCATCTGTGAGCACAGTGCAAAGTACTTGGTATGCATTCAGTTCTTTTTTGTTTTTTTGAATGACTTAATGACTGAATGAGCAAGTTCATTTATGTTCATCTCTGATCAGGATGTAGGGCTCTGTTGCTGAGCCAGACCTGGAGATGAGTTTCTGGATCTGGCGGTCGGCACTCCCACACTGTTCAGTCTTCAGATATCTCCTTGAGTTAGACCAGTAACTCCAGGAAGTGACAACAGATGTCCCTCTGCCTAGCACGTTAACCACGCCGAGGCCAGTTTTGTGAAGCAGTGTATTACAACCCCCACCTGCAGGCGGGCAGTGAAGAAGCCTGCAGCTGAAGCCCTAGGTGCGGCTGAATGGGAGCTAAGATACTGGGCAGGGCCTTGTCTGTCTGGCCCTTGAAAGTATACCCGAGAGATAACTTGGTGAGGAGTGCTGCCGTTTGGGGGGCCTGGTCCCAGGCTGCACTTGAAGCCTTTCTTTCATGAGTCGAAGGGCCCACATCTTAAAGATGAGTGTCTTCTTTTCTGACTGATGGGCGGCAATTTCAAAGCAATGTCCTTACTGCACAATTGCTATAGATTTGTCAGGGCTGTTTGTGCTATTGAGGAAAGACCTGGCTCGGCTGTGGGTAAGTAAAGGGGACTTGCATGATCTCTAAGTCTCTAAGAGGCAATTTCTCTGAGGACAAGACAAAGAAAATTGGAAAGCAAGACCTACTGCTCCTGACTCCTTTCTTTTTGTCTTTTTTTTTGGCCACACCATGAGCATGTGGGATCTTAGTTCCCCCACCAGGGATCAAACCCATGCCCCCTGCATTGGAAGCACAGGGTCTTAACCACTGGACTGCCAGGGAAGTCCCTGACTCCATTCTTTTTTTTTTTTTTTTTTTTTTTTTTGCGGTACACGGGCCTCTCACTGCTGTGGCCTCTCCTGTTGTGGAGCACAGGCTTCGTACGCGCAGGCTCGGTGGCCATGGTTCACGGGCCCAGCCACTCTGCGGCATGTGGGATCTTCCCGGAGCGGGTCACGAACCCGTGTCCCCTGCATCAGCAGGCGGACTCTCAACCACTGCGCCACCAGGGAAGCCCCCTGGCTCCATTCGTAAAGTGGACTTGCTCCACTTAGGCCAAGGACTAAAATGTTAACACTGTGTATGTAGTCCAATGACTAAGAGTCAACTTTCTTAGGAGTTTGGGGGCATTCATCAGGCTTACAAGTTAATGTTCTTCCTCTTCTAGTCTATTATTTCAGGCTTACATATCAATGAATGGCTTTACTGTTTAAGATTTTAGTTGAAGGGAGGAAGGTAGGAATGTAAACTGGTGGGGGTGAGGGAAGAGCAGTCAGCATCTATAAGGTACCCTGGGGGTTGGCAGGAGCTTGGACCACAGAGTGGAATGAGAAGTGCTGAATGAAGCTCTGTACATATCAGTTACTCTGAGGAGGGAGCCAAGAAGTAGGTAGCTGGCATGTGGGCTGTCATAGTATCTAGGCTGCTGGGAGACATGTTTAAAGAAGAGCTATTGCTTTACTAGAAGCATTGACCAGAAATGGCTGATGAAATAGAATGAACCCAGGGTAGCATTTGTATGTATGTGGAATCTTTGAAGAACCTATGGCGAGGTCAGAACGAAAGAGGAGATATTAGGAAGTTCATTTGAGAGCTAGGAGTGGGAAAGGTCGATTGCTATGATGATTCGAAAAAAAGGGAGATCTTTAAAAACAGCTACAACCCCTTTTAAGTGTGACTAATAACTATCGTAGAGAGGTGATATTTGCGAACCAGGCCATAGCAAGAGCTGAAGAAATTGCCTGCCCAAAAGTCAGACGTCTAAAGTAAATATAATTTTATAAAGAGAGTGCATATATATGTGCATTTTATAAAGTATAAAGAATGTGGTGTGTGTTTCTTTGAAAACTTTTATTTATGCAGCTAGCATTCATAGACTTTTTTCCTCAAACTGTCTGACTCATCATAGTTAAAATTCAAAAATAAATAGGTATATTGGTGTGTGTACAGCTTCCTAAAGTTGCATCTCTAAGTATTTCCCTATCTCCCCTTCACCCATACACACACTCAACTGATAGCAGAATTGCTGTCTTGTGAAAGTCTGGTGATTTTCACTTCTTGGAAGTTGGGTGTTACCGGTTGCTCATTGCCCTTCTCGGAAATGTGGTCTACCTGTCATAAATGCAAATACTGTCAAAGTGGCTCCTACATTGCTAAAAAGCCAAAGGGGAGGAAATGTATTTTATAATTGACAAAAGAATAGAACCAGTTCTTACATCCTTGCTGGGGGGTTCAAATCCAGACTTAGCAACATACCCACTGACCATGCTGTTCTAATTAAGATGTATTATTAACATTAATGCCAACTGTGACTGTGAATATCCATACAAATGAGGTTCATCAAAACAAAGAGTGTGTGGATTCCACATAAATGTTTGTCACTATTTTTTTTCTGTCACTATTTTGATTTTAAATGAGCTATGCAGAATACACATAAAAATGCTATTTCTACTTTCAGTATTAATATCAATACTTATCAATATCAGTACTTTTTCTGGAGACACTTTAAAGGACTCTTGTGTTTGTCTCTCCATCACTCTTCCCCCTAGTCCCACCCCACTCCTCCAGGGCACCCTTTTCTTTTGAAAGCTGACCATTCATTCCTCCATGGTCACCTTGTGGTAACTGCAGGAGCTACCATGTTACAGGGTCCTGCCCCTCGTTTGGCCCCAACATGAGCCACCCAGGCTCTTCTTTGGTGTAACTTGGAATCAAACAGGGTATGAGGAAGACCCTCTCCCACGGCAGAAGCTGTGGAATGTAAAATTTAGAAGGTATAGGTAGCCATTGTTCCTGCCATGTATGGAAAACTGCTCCAAAGTGAGAGAGATTGACCCTCCAGGAAAAACAAAGGCAGGACATGGAGGATAGTCCTGTTGGTATTCAAGGCCCTGGTTCCACTTATTTCTCTGGATCACTGCCGATCCTGGTATTTGGTTAGTTCAGCACGTCCTTGGGTCACCTGAGCCAATAAATGCCCACTTGTCCTAAGTGGGTATTGCTTGGGTTATTAGTCATTTAAATAAAGATTCCCATTCAGAGGATTTGGCAAAGTCCTAGGTGTGAAAATGGAAAGAAATTCTGGGACAGATTATTTCAGGGAACAGTAATCAGAAATATTAATCCATAGCCAGACCTACCCATGGCATGAAGTATAGATAGGATATGCATCCTTGGCCCCAACCCACGTAGGGTAATTTTAAAATATGTTGCAAATTCTTTGACATTCCACACCCCTTCATAAAGTGGGATATAATTTCCCCTCCATTTGACTATGGACCCAACTTAGTGACTCGCTTCTAACAAAAAAAAAGTATGGCAGAAATGATTATGCGTCTTCTGACACTAGGTCTTAAAATAGGTAGTTTCCGCCTAGCTTTCTCTCTCACGAGCCACTTTATCTGGGAGAATCTAGCCTCCATGTCTTGCAAACACTCAAGCAGCCCTGGGAGAGGCCCCATGGAGAGCAACTGAGTTCTCCTGCCACCTGCCAGCACCAACTTGCCAGCCCTGTAAGTGAGCCATCTTGAAAGTAGATCCTCCAGTTCCGGATAACTGAGCTCTGGTCAGTACCTTGACTGCAACCTCATGAGACACCCTGAGCGAGAACCACCTCGCCAAGCCCTTCCTGAATTCCAGACAAGCGGAAATAATCAAATGTTTGTCATTAGTTTAGGTCACTACACTTACGGAATATTTCTTAGACGGTAATAGATAATTAATTCTATATCCAAGACTAAAAGGGATTATTTTGAAGAGGTTGGTAAATCATGTTCAGTAGTAAGTGATGGCAGGAGATCCCCAAAGAAGCCACCCAATCATAGAAATAACTGGAGCTCGTGATTTAGAAATTTGGGCCCCTCTAGCTAAGGTTAAAGGTACAAAACACAGTTACTGAAGAACAAGTAGGAATAGAATCATCTAGTGTAATGAAAGGGAAATAGAATAATACAGTGGTCAAAATGCAGAGTTTTGTGGTCAAATATATTTAGGTTTGAATCTTGGCTCTGCTAGTTTCTGTTTGAACTTATTACTTGTCCATATTTTTTAGGGTTTTATTTCAGGGTAATTTTAGGTTTATAAAAATGTCGTAAGAATTACTGAAAGAGTTCTGGAGCATCCTTAGCGTAGCTTCCTCAAATGTTAACATTTTAGCAGCAGAAAATATAGCATAAGAACATAAGAAAAAAACCAAAAAATGAGTTCTAATACCATATCTCTGAATAATTTTTCTCATCAATGGCTGGAATCTCAGTTTGTATTCATAAAAAAGTATATTGTGTTAACTTATCCTGTTCCCTCTTTCTCTTTTCCTTGGTCCTGCTTTTTACAAGGCACTTGGGTTGTTGTTTTCTCCCTGCTGTGTCCAGTTGTTCTCTTCCAATGAAAATTAATGGGTCCAAGCTAATTTCTTTCTTCAGAAGATGCAACCGTGAGCTAAGAAGTCAGCCTAAAGTTTCTCAACCTTAGTTTCTCAGTATTTTAGCAAACACAATTTCCATAATGAATGATCCCTCTCCACCATGCCTCACACCAAAAAAATTTGAGTAATTGACCATAAACTTCTCAGAAAAATGATAATTCAAGAAATGTACAAAATATAATAAATTTTCAATATGTGTATCTTTTAAAGAGAACATTCTTTTTTGTCTCATGACATAAAGGAATTTGTTTTCAAAACTTGAACTTAAGAACTATTCAAGCAGAAAAATGAACATATCAGAGTTAAGTCATAGATAACACCAGCCATATATACGTGTCAGCTGTTCACCTGTCTTCCCCACCCTGAATGTCAGCTCCTTGCGGGCAGGAAACATACACATTATTCAGTTCTGGGTCCTCTGTATCTAACATGGTACCTGCTACATAAAGGATGTGCTGACTGACCTCAATATGATAGAGAAATTTTCTCTTAAACATTCCATTTCTCAACAATTGATTCAAAAGTTTAATA